GTAGCAAACAAATTCATCATTTGGGTTTTACTTTGAGATGAGAAGTTATTTTAAGATCATTTCCGACAGCCAAATAATAAAGATAATATTCTTGAGATTAAAAAGAAGTAATAGAATTTAAAAAATAATATAAGTTAGTGGGAGCATTTAAATTAGTAATTTTAATTTTTGATTGCATGTAATTTGTTTCAATAAGTTTGCATGCATAGCTGATTTCGCAAGCTTCAAATATGCAGCCATAAAGCCTGTCGAAAGCTTGGTGGCAGCTAGTTCCGGGCTTGCAACAGAAGTTATACAGAACATTTTTAAGTTGCGTAGGAGAAGTAACAATTTGAATAGATGGTGTGCTGCCGTGTTAAATCTATAAAAGATTGCCTCAAAACCAACCCGAGTTACGAAGGAATCAACATCTCTGCTTTATGTTATTTTAACAATAGTTCACCTGTTGGTAACTGTCCAAAATTATTCTGACTGTTCTTGTTTTGCTTGATTTGAGCAAAGCATTTGACAATATCGACCACGACCGTCTGTTCCACAAGTTGCAGAACTGTGGAATCTCGTCAAATACACCAGAATGGTTTGGCGCTGAAATATAGGACTAACTTCACATAACGAATAGATTTCCCCAAACTGGTATACTGGACCCCTCCCTTATTGTTCAATCTGTTCATCAATGATCTTAAAAAGTAAGCTGGAAAGTTATGTAGATGACTCCAAACTCTTTTTATCATCTTGTACTGGAAACTTGAAGATGTAGCTATAGTAACAACAGTAAATACCGTAAATGATCGATTAAGCGCCGCGGCGCTTATTGCAAATATCGATTTTAAGATGCGGCGCTTATTTGACAGCGGCGCTTATTCGACAGAGGCGCTTATTTCAAAGGGAGCAAATAGATTATTTTCTGAAGGCCGATGAATCGAACAAACGTATGGTAGAGGTTACATGAAAAAGAAAGCGCGATGTTGGGCTGGTGATTCCTGCTAAGTTCACAGCATTTACGGCGAATCGACGACTTGCCCAAGTATTAGACACGGAGTTAATTAGGAAGAAGGAAAATTTTAAACTATCAGAACTGTCATATGAGCCCGTTTGTAAAAGATATTCGACAATAAAACTTTAGTTTTAATACTGGCAGTCGTTCTCAATAGTGTTTAATGTTAAGATTAACGCGTTTAAATAAAGAATCGTTTATTTCTACATTTTTTAGCGTTTATTTATATCTTCCTAAATGGTCGCCGCGGCGCTTATTCAACAGCGGCGCTTATTAAATTCTTTTTATTGAGGTGCGGCGCTTATTCGACAGCGGCGCTTATTCGAGTAGCGGCGCTTAATCGATCATTTACGGTAATGATCTTTTCACAGCTGCTACTTATATATTTAAGTAACAATTGCCTTCTTGCTAACCCGGATAAAACAAAGATTATGTTCCTTGGAACACAACAAATGCTGAAACACATTCCGGCCGGTACCTCATTTATGTTTTTTGGGAGACCTATACAACCAGTCCAACATGCCAAAGATCTTAGCCTATAATTATGGACACAAGTCTATCATTTAATAAACACATGTCAAGCAGTCATTATTATGTTGTATGAAGAAACTGCATCAAATAAATAGAATTAAGAACATTTTTAGGCAAATTAACTCTGGAAATGATAATACAATCTTATGTCTTTTCCATCCTCAACGAGTCAAAAAAACATTTTTAAATATAAGACAGTGCAAAACTTTGCTGCGCCATAATGACCGTATCCCGCAAATATGGCCATATAACACCTGCTTTAAAGCAACTGAAATATCTTAGCTTCCCGTTGAGGACATTTTGTATCTGCGGGACTGCGTTATGACGTATAAATGTATGAACAAGTTCGAACCTGATTACCTATGCCAAAAGTTTGTTACTCATTCTTTGATTAGCAAGAACGAGTTTTTAAAACTTCTAAAGCTCAGAGGTCCTTTTTATATAGGACTTCAACAATTTGAAATAGCCTTGACGACTCACTAAAATCTAGATTGACAGTCCAAAGGTTTAAACTTAATATGTAGAAAATTCCTCTCACGGATTTCTCAGATAAGTAATCCTCTGTAAATGTAAATTTGAGCCAATGTTTAAAACTGGAGTTTTTCGGTATTATCACGGCATATTTGTAAATTAATTCAAACCTTTGTAAATAATGCGATATAGGCTACAGTAGTATAATATGAAGAAGCGTAAATTCGAGCTGAAAAGCTTCGCGAGGAGCTTCTAATGCATGCTGTATAGATGTATATGGATGTATGTCAACCGACCCTTACGCGTTAAACAAATCATACAGCGATTTTCGGCCTAAAAATGGTTTGAACAAAGAATCCGAAATAGGATTTTAGACGGTTCAATTTCACCAACAGGATTGCTTAAAACCTGAGTTAGAAATGTTTTGTTATCCGACGGGAAAATGTCAATTGTAAGGATACCTAAATCGATGTATGTGCAAATTTCCACACTATACGCTCTGATCTTCTTTAGGAGTAGTTACCGTAAAATTGGTGGACGCTGATCCTGCTGCAAAATCAGGTAAATGCATTGCTCACAGATGCGAGAAGAAAGGCGGAAGAAGTGGACAAGGAGAAATGACCTTCAGTGAATTCTTCGTCTTGGGTTATCGCACTTAATTTTAAACTAAAACATCGTCCTAAGCATATTGTTTATTTTTTTCCGATATCAGGTGTGATGACGTTGATAAATACATTTGTTTAACTTTCTTTACTGAATTTGTTAAATTTTATTCTCCTGCTCTTCTGCATGGTTAATACTTACATGGCCGATGGTTTTCGGGGTGTGAGAAGCAGAACATTCGTCTTCATAAAGCTTATAACCATGCAGTAAAGCAAAGCATCTTGTATGTCAACCAGTATCATTTATGTACACGAAATGACACACTTGTACGATACGTTATAGATTTGATGTTTTTATAAGAATTATTAGCTGCGAACGAACGAGGTACAGTTTTTCCCCACCAGGACAAAAATCTATAGCTATTTTCCCGCAACAGCAAAAATACTTGACGAAAGTATAAATTTAACATCTTGGAAAAAGTGTCTGGCAAAAAAAGAGAACATGCATGGGTACGCAACGCGCACATCGGGATAAGCTTGAAAAGGAGAACAAAATTATCAATTTATTGAACAACTGACCTGAAATATTTCGACGTAAATAGTTAAATTTTCGATGGAAGTACATATTTAAAGCAAAAGATGTTGTCTAACCGTTTAAATCTAAACGCCTTTCGAACAACCGGCCCCTGGTGGCGATAAAGCTATAAGCCTTGGCAAACTGAAATGGGCAAGTTTTGTTCACTTAATACAACTGTATCATATTATTACAATTAATGCACTAATTTTACACTCCCTAACTCAAATTACATACAGTATTTGCTCCACTGCACCTTAAAATTCGAAAATACTTTTTAATTATATCTCTACTCCTTCCACTGATATTAAAACACATGCAGTAACATAATGCTGATTGTCTTGCACGTAAATCTTGTGAATGTGAATCAAACACTTTAAGTACTTCACGAAAGCTTTGTATCAGAAATATTTAAAGAATTTGAACGGACCGAAAAAGAACTTCGCATTCAACTAGCAATAAAAAAATAGGTTTAACCCTCTTTACGTTAAAGAAACTTGTAAAATCAAAGTGTCATTGCTTGTTTGAATTAGGCTTTATTCATGCTCAGATGCCATGGGCTTGTGTATAAAAACCGGCGTAGTTTTGATGTGTAATTTCAACTAGGCGGCCTGGAATTTGGCCTCAGGGTTCGCGACCAATTATCGTTCCATGCATTCGTTTTAGTGTTCAGTCCGGGACCGGTTGCAACAGACAAATACACTTCAAAATAAACCTGTCCAACATCATAATTTTAGCGGTTCAAATTTAAAAGAGGTTTAAAGAATTTTGAAAAAAAAAGAAGTGAAAATAGTGAAGACCTTAACAAGAATCAAACCGGGATGTTCCGTATGCAGGGCAAGCGCCCCTTTCGACCACCGTAACGTTGCTGGATTCGAAAGTAATTTAGTTCTATTTACAGTGCTCAACATAGAAAATGGATTAAACAGACATGGTTACAAAGCTAGACAATAACAAGCCGGACTAGATTCCTGTCTTCCGCAGCAAATACCGCTTCGTTTGGACGCCATGCTGTCTTCGCTCTGTAAATAACCGTGGTATCATGCTTCGTTGTGGGACACATTGCATATTAGAATGGGTGAAACTGGTGTGCAATGTTCAATCTGCAAGTACTTTCTGTGCATTATCTTTTTCAGGTTCCCTGTATAACGCGCATGGAAGATTCCACACAGCAAGCGCGACTTGCTTTTTACTCGAGCTAAAGCGAGTCTTAAATTCGATCTGGGTATTTTTCGCCCAAAACTTATTCTCCCACGCGGCCAATCTTCATTTTGGCCAATCAAAATAAATCGTTGTCGCATGTATACGGGCTCAGCCGGTATTATTGGTAGCTGCTGATATATATCCTCGACAATTTGGTTTGAATTGGTTTTATTCTAAGAAACAAATTGCAACATATTACTAATCTTCGCTTATCAAGCTTTACAAAATTGACATATCACATTCAATACTTAGCATATTACAAGACAAACACAGCAAGTTGCATGTTACATACAGTGCATGGGATTTTATTTCACTTAATTAAACGGGATCATCGAAGCAGAATAAAAAAATTTTTAAATAAAAACATTTCGTTTGATTTATTTGATAACAAGGGGAATTTCGTTTTAGACCAATCAGCAAATTTGTTTTTATTTTAAATAACCCAATCAGAATGCATAAATTTTTATAAAAAGTACAATATATACCATTTTACATGAAGTATTTAAAATTTAGGCATTCTGATTGGCTTTGCCTAAAATATGTAAACAAATATGGCGATTAGTTTAAGACGAAATTCCTCCTTGTTTTATTTATACTATCGAAAATAAATACCTGGGACCCGCAGCCTCTCTTTCGGCCCCCCAGAGAAAAACAAAAATTCTCATCTAATTTGTTCCACAGAAGTGCGACATAATTTACATAAACGAGGCGAAGAGCTAAAACATGCTTTCAATATCAGTTTTCCTTGAATCACTACTACACAATTCAGTTTTTTCAATTATTAGATTTCCGTGGTTGCACTTGTTAGCAATTTTATTCCGTTTTTGCTGCAGTTCTCCTCTTGTACTTTGTCCCCAAATCATCCCTCTGAACATATTCTTGAAAGCAATTTTATAGGTCTGGTCAAGACAAGCATATATAAATGGATTACATAGACTATTTACAAGTGGAAGCACTTCTATTACGTAATTCGTGATAACATGACGATGCCATGAGCTTGTTGAATCTTCTTGTTTTGGATCGTAAACGTCGGGGTTATTTAACATGTCAAAAAGACGAACAACAATTGGTATCCAGCAAAGCATGAAGACGCCAACGACGACTAAAAACATTCGTATAACTTTAAGATCTTGGAAGAAGCCATTTCTGTGCCGGAGTTGACTGTTCGCTTGCCCTAATTCACCATTCTGCAGCATTTGTCGTCGCTTATGAACAACATGGAAGATAAGGCAATACATGACCGCCATAAATATGATTGGTAAAAATATCGATATTACAGAAAAAGCAATGTAGGTACTCGACTTCATAGTAAAACAGTCGAGGCCTTTTGTTAATCCGTTGCTTCCTGAATTCGGAGCGGCGGCGTACGAGGCAATGACAGCGGATATAATCCAAATAAAGCAAATTATCTTCAATGACGTGGAAGTCCTCATTCGTGTTCTATACTGAAGTGGTTTGCTGATTTTAAGATACCGGTCGAAACTAATGAATGTTAATGTATAAATGGATGTCACAAGGGAAAATATACTGATCCACACTAGGAAACGACACAGATGGACATTGCGCTCATTAATTTTGAAGTGCGACAGTACTAGCACAGGAGCCACGAATGCGCCCACCAAAAGATCAGCGGCAGCCAGACCAGCGACAAAATATTTATTCGGTTGATGGAGACTCTTCTTTTTCCACGTCACAACTAAAACCAAAGCATTTCCCAGAATTATTAAGATGCCGGTAAACGTCCCAACGAATATCATTACCGATTCTATGGTTTCGTTTCGTTCCATGAAATTGTCTTTTGTTGGACTCATGTAGTTACAATCTGTATAATTACTTTGCATCCTCACTGGCAATCCTGGCCGATTCTAAATAATATCAATATCATTGGTAACTCCTTTTAACATTTACAAATTACATGAACCTAGTCGTTCTTTGTATAAAAATTTTAGCCGAATTATTTCTATTTATTATAATATGCAGTGTTTTATTGACGAATCCGCCATTTTGAAAAGCGATAATAACACAAGTACGATTATTCATGATAATAACACATGTGCGATTATTCATGATAATAACACATGTGCGATTATCGTGTTTGATCCATCGATCTGGAATCAGGAAGAGGGACAAAAAACTTTTCAAAGGCAATCACCTGCCAAAAAGCCATTTATAAGTAAATCACAAAATCGTTATCAACGTTTCGACTTTAATATCTTCTTCAAGTAAACTAAAAAAACAAGCATCTACTTTTATCCCCGAGCCGTTGGGAGCACCGTGCGAGGGACTAATACCGCTCGGATATTTACACCCACGATGCGCAAAGGATATTTACACCCACAATGGACCTCATGTCATGGGCGGTCCTCTACGTTATGCGCATGCGTCACTGTGAACTTCTACACTTTTCATTTTTCAAACGTGCATAACTGATAGTGGTTGCATAACTGCCATTTCGCAAAATTTTGATGAAATTTTTAAATTTATATTTTCATAAATATGGAACATATATTATATTACATTAGAGGGAAACTCGAATGGTCAGGACTTTTTTCGTTTTAACAATTAAGTTAACAAGACCAAATTTTCGACCAAAATTGTGTAAAATGAAGTCGGATGATTTTACGCTTGATAATATTTCACCCGGCACAGCTTTAAAAAGTCATCATTCTTTTTTGGTATAAACAAAATTTAATATTCTCAAATGTATTTAACTATAAATCTGAATGTTTTATGTGATAGATTACATTATAATTTGATTTATAAATTCCAATGACAAAAAGAAAATCAAATCAAAATATTTGCGTGCAAAAACCGGTCGAGGCGTAAAATAAAACTTTGGAAGTTGTATGAAACGTCTGATGTGATATTTCATGGTAATTAATAAATAAAATAATTTAACGCTAACTATAAATGAGTAACTTAACATCCAGAAAAAAAAGAATCTTTACATATTTTTGCCATTTTTTTCACAAAAATATGATGTTAACTCATAGGTTACCCGAAAATGTGTTTTTTCATGACATTAATCCACAATTAGCATTTTAATCCGTTATAATTTCCATTACAAGAAGTAGCGCACGCACTCATAATTAAAAAATGTCAATGATCTCTTATGTATAAAATATATACAAGGTTGGCAAGTATATTACTGTATACAAATAATATATCAATAAACAAATACATCAAAAACACTTGATTCGCCCAAGCAGCGCCCACGTCAACACAGTGTCAGCCAATCACAGGGCATAAATCTGTGAAATTTCGCTAAATTCAGCCTTTTTAAGACAAAAAATTACAGGAAAGATGTTTAAAATTTACTCATGCTCATACTGAGCTGTTTTTTTAACAGATTGAAGTGTTTTTGATGTATTTTTTATTGATATATTATTTGTATACAGTAATATACTTGCCAAGTAATATACAGACCAAACACAATTAACATACCCATCCAAGTAGCAAAATATAGTTTGTTCATCCACTAGCTTTACTTCACCAGATGTTACCTTAAACCCAACTTCTTCTTTTCTTTCACTTTCTTTTTAACAACATCAGTAATATACTCTTTTATAGATAAGAGATCATTGACATTTTTTAATGAGTGCGTGCGCTACTTCATGTAATGCAAATTATAACGGATCAAAATGCTAATTGTGGATTAATGTCATGAAAAACACATTTTCGGGTAACCTATAGTAAACTTTGATTCTTTGAAAATATACCGCCCTTGCGAGTTGCTATGACTACAGTGCTTCCACGCGCAGAAAAACATTTCCATACCTCATTTCCCCAAACCTCCAACCCACAAAATTTTTTTAACTATCATGTTACCATCCCTGGACACCGCAGAAATTGGTGTTGGAAGTCAAATATCTCATCAGTTGCTCACATTTGAATCCTAGTATTCAGAAACTGCTGTCAAAGAAAATACTATCAAATAAGTTGAAAACAAGTTCAATTTTTCTTCCAATATCGGTTTTGGAAACTTTTGAAGGCTCTTCGTATGCATCTGCCACCGTAAAATGGCCATTTTGAGACATTTTCAGACATTTTCAGATGATTTGTTTTTGCCGTGTGCAAGCTTCAAATCTTTTCTGCAAGATATATTTTGTTGAGTATTTATAAATCTTTTAGCTTGCCGAATTTAAAGTCTAAGTATTGAGAATTACGGCTAAGTCTACCAATTTCCGCGGTGTCCCATCCCTGTAGACACGGCGGAAATTGGTAAAATTGAGAAAACTTCTCAACACTTATAGGCTTTAAATTGGTAAAAAAAAGATTATAGATACTACACAAAATATGTCTTGCACAAAAGATTTTTAAAAAGCTTGCACACGATAAAAACGAATCATCTGAATTAATAACCTTGGGTATACTTTAACCAACAAAATGGCCATTTCACAGCGGTCAGATGTGTATGATGATCAAAAGATTGCATAATGCGTACTCGGAAGAAAGACCGAATTATTCAATAGTTTTCTCTTTGATAGCGACACAGCAATGCACAATGTGAACCAGTGAACCAATGTGAACCATAAACACCAATTCAGTCTGCGGTATACATATAAGTTAAAATGTAAAGTTATTATCATTCGGTATTTTTCGTGCAAAGCAACACTTTGTTGTAGTTTTAGAGCTCTGAAAGTGTACCGGTTAAGAAAATAGAATATTGCCACCTGCATGTGTCCAGTCAATCATGATCTTAAGAAATTAAGGCAATTTATTATTTTCATTCGATATAATAACTCCAGATCGGCTGTTTTTTGCGAACACTTACTCTCCGATTCCTATAGTATATCAGTGGTTTGCTATTTTGAAAAAGAATTCTGTGTCACTCAAAAAGCCACCAAGAAATTTCTTGATCGTGTAAAAGCAGCCAAACCTCTTTAAAGCTTGGTTTTCATATGTCACTGACAGGCGGCAATTAATTGTGTGTGGTGGGTGACGAAGCACATTATTTCATGCACTCTTCGTCGGTGACATTCTCTGAACAGGTTTAATTGAAAGGCAACGGTTAAGCCAATTTTCTATTGCATGTGTCCTGATAAGTCATTTTTAACCGATGTTAAATATAAACTGAGAATGACTTGTATTAAATAAACCATAATATAGCATATAGTTGATCAAGTTTGTTTTTTTAGAGGGTGCATGTGCGCGATCGATTACAGTCAATTACCATTACTTCTAATCGCTTCTTAATTTTGTCTGTTATGCGGGATCTTAATCAGGAATACGCCTCCCAACCCGATATCGATGCTTCCTATTCCACTTCCGTGGAAAGTTATAAGTATAGGTAAACAACGTGCAGTAGCCTTTATCAATAATTTGCAGTGTAGGTACATTGCATAAAAATTCTGAGAAAAATTTTCTGTACAAGCAGAATCTTATATGAAAATGCTTTTAACCGCCGTTGAAATCATACCGGCGAGTCAACCTTGATTTGCTATACTCCATTGCTTTCTAAATTGGGCATCAAACCCATAAAATAACTTCGAGATAATGTTGAAATAGATTAAACACGAATAATTAAAAAGCAAGTGCGATACAGTCAGCATGTAGTCATTATCCTCTTTGTAGTTTAATAGTAAGGATAATGTCCCAGAGTCGCAGTTGCGTAAGTTTGATCGATTCTTGCAGGAACGCGTAGTTGCCTTCCTCTCAATGCATGTCCCGCTTTGGCTTTAAAACTTGCAATATTATATAATATATCGTTCTGTCGACAAATATCCCATATTATATAAAGGTAGGGAAGAGTTCTCTCACCTTTGATATATATGACCCACCCACACTTGGGAATTCCGCTGAACTGTGTACAGAAATCAAGCAATCAAGCTCTGCGTCTTTTATTTCACGAACATGCAGGACTTAACTCTTGGGTTGTTTTAGCATAGGCGGCACCTGATAATTGATAATTAGCAGGTAATTGACGTCACGCGCGGTGTTGACGTTCATATGAAATATCAAGCCAGAGGTATCAAGCCAGATGAATATATATTCATGGCGGGCTAAAGTGTACGTGCGTAATCGATTTTTATCTCAAAATGAAATGATTCAGTCCTTGCAACTTTATATATACGTATACGTCTTATAGTTTTTGATACTAGAAATGACAATGATTATGATTTAGTTTTACCCGCGTGCTCTTATACGACAGTTTATACTGCTGTTTGCAGATCGGAAGGCAAAAAAATATTGATGTTGACATACCATTGTGGATGGCGCACGACTAAAGTTGCGGGAATTCATAAAGAGTTTTATTAACACTGCGGTAAAACGTCAACGCACGCATCAAATCTGCATGTAAAAGGCATTAAAAAATAATTGTTCTGAAAGTTTCTCTTATAAATGGCAACTCTATAACCTAAATAAGTGATATTGTGTGTCTCTCAAACCATATATCGAGCGCATAAATAATATAAACGCTTCTATAGATACTAAGGATATAAACAGAAAGAAAGTTCAAGAAGTTTCATGCGACAAGGACTTTGCTACATGAACTTTAGTTTAAAGTGGAGGTGAATTTCATTAAATATAGCTATTAGATGATACCTCAGCAGAATTTTTTAAAGTGGCCACGATCCGTTTTGCCAAAGTGGTCAAGTGGTCGGTAATTTAAGAGATAATACTGAACCCATGCAAAGCATAACTTACGAAAAATTTGGCCTTAAATTATATCTCATGCGGTAAAAACTACGTTGACTCTGAAAAGCCAGTCTGACTCATGACAGAATTTGTGAAATTGAGCAATCACGAATAAGCGCTTGCAA